CCGAAGGGTCCGAGGGGCCGCTGAAAAACTCGACAGGACTGCTCGGCTGCAAATCGACGAGCACAGGATACTCCTCACGCGGGTTGGCAAACCCGAAAAAATGCGCCTCGCACGAGGCAGCACTGTGAACAGCACGCGCCAGGCTGGCAAAACCTGAGGCTAGCACCCGCTTGGCCCTCCAAAGGGTGTGCTTGACCGCTCCACTGAGCGACGAGTGCGATCTCTTAAAGGCAGACGGTCGCTTCACGTGGGGAGGGGTCCAGCGGGAACGCCGAAAGGCAAAAGAGCTGCGACTGCACGCCGAGGCCGAGCCAGATGTGGCCCTGGTGGCACAAAGCTCACCAGGCCCGAAAACGGGTGCCCCCAGAGGCTGGAGGAGCGTCCTGAACCGAGATTCCAAGCTGCTTCGAGCAAAAAGTGGGTACTGCTCGTGGGACCCTCCAGTTTCAACGCACGATTCCTGGAGGATCCCACGGCAAGACGGCAAACCCAGACAGCCCCAGGTACACTCCAGGGATCCAGGATGCAGTGCAAGAGGACCTGAGACCTCAGGATCCTCGACTCCGAAAGAAAAAGACAGCCCTACTCCTTCAGCAGCAGGCTGATGACACCCACGAGGGCGAGCGTCGACAGCAGCTCCAGCGGGTGCGGGCTCTGCTTGCCAGCCGTGGCAACTCTCGTCTCCGCCCCAAGGTGCAAGGCCGAGGCCCAGAGCATTAAAGTCCCCTGCCGAGGGGAACGGAGAGAACATGTGCCAGGCTGGGCAAGTGAGCGTGCCGCTGGATTGAACGTGTTCACGATGAGGGCCCCCCTGCTGATGCTCACGCGGCAGCAGGGGGGGGGTCTTGTTCAGGCTGCCCATGCTGAATGATCTTGGCGGCCCGCTGACGTAGAGCTGCAGACGCGGTAGCTTCAGCATCAACCTCTGGAAGCTGCGCTGCTGCTGCCTCTGGACCAGTGGCGGCGATGTCTGCGGCAGACTCGGCATCTCCACCTCCATCAGCGCCAGGAGCAGCACCTTCGTCAGTCTTCCTCTTCTTGGCAAGTCGTCCGAGATGCTCCTTGTGTGCCTCCTGGATCTTCTTGGCAGTCTCGGAGGCCTGCGCGAACAGCCGCTGTGCCAACTTTTGGATGCCTTCTCGCAGCTGGTTGCCCCTCTTCTCGAGCTCCTCCTTGTCGGCCTCCGAGAGCTCGAAATCCTCGGCGCCTCCAAGCAGCTCCGAGGGGTCAATGACCAGCTTGTCCGTGAAGGTCCCGTCCATGATTGACGACAGCGAACAAGGCACGACCTTGTCCTCTGGCACCTTCTGCAAGTCGGCCGCCGACGTCTGAGCATGAAGTGCGGCCACCAGTCGACGATGCTCACTGTCGGCCTGCTCACACTCCTCAGTGAACTTAGTGACCAAAGCACGCTGCTCCACCATCTGCAACGACCACTCCTCGAACCTCTGAACCGCGCCCTGCAACTTCCTCTCGAGGCCTCGCAGCTTGCTGTGGGCCATGGAAACCTGGTGCTGCAGGGTGGGCTCCTTGGCCACAGGTGGAGGCTTGGCCAGCTCACGATGCTTAGCCGCTCCCAGAGCGTCTCCAGCCTTAGCCAGCAGCTCCGCCAAAGACGCGTGCTCTTCACGAGAAAGAGGTGCCTCTGGCTTGGTTGGACCACCTGGCGACTTGCCACCCTTGCCGCCACCATGGTCGCCTGGCGCGAAGGAGCCTGGTGGCCCACGAGCAGCAGCAAAGGGGGAGTACGGCAGGTTGCTGCTGAAGCCAGCAGACCAGACTCCCCCAGGCGTGCCGAAGGAAGTGGGCGTGTATGGCTGGAACGGGGTCCACTGAGAGCCACAATGTTTGCAGCGCGACCAGCGCATCTCGTTCTTCCTGCAGCCGCACGCCGAGCATGTCCAGAGGGCGGGAGGACCATCAGGCTGAACCCCTGGAGCCCGAGCAGCCCAAGGAGGAAGAGGCGTGCCACCGCTGTCGAACAGCGCGATCTCGTGCTCGAGGGCGGCCGCCGAGGGGATGCTCTTGCCGCCCTTGCCGCCGCCCTTGTCATACTGACCACCAGGGCCGCGCTTGCCGAAGCCGCCCTTCCCCATGGCGGCGAAATGATTATGAACTGTGAGGGTACGGCCCTCTCCGAAGCTGATTGACTCGCAGGCACGAAGTGCCGTTTTGAATCCTGCACCTGCAACGCTCAATGGCTTGAGCGCAAAACGGCTAGCTTGAGCCAAAATGGCTACGGACCTCCTGGATGGCTCCAAATGCCCCCCGAGAAGCCCCACTGAGGTCTCTCCGAGGCCTCCCAAGAGACCCCACGAGGCCCGAAAGAAGCCTCACAACACAGGCACTGTGGCGTGTTGGGCCGAAGGCCACTGGATCCGCCGCCCCCGAGGCCCGCGGAGGGATGTAGGCGTGCGGAGCGTTCTTGCTCTTGGAGCTTCCAAGCGTGTCCAGGCAAGCCCAACGCTCCGCTCCAGCCACGCGTAAACGGGATCTCTCATGAGCTCTCCCGCCCAAAATGGCTACAAGATGGCAACAGGACGACCTCCAATAAGGCCAAGATGGTCTCCAAGACGCGTCGAAGAGGGCTAGGTAAGCCACAAGCGATTCCAAGATGGCCTCCGCTAGAGCTAAGGCCACGGCACGCTAACGAGCACCGCTTGGCTGAACGAAACCAAAACAAAGCAAAAGCGTGGCTATTCAAACTATAGCAAGCTACCAGATACGATGCACCAGGCACGACCAAAGCTTACGGTCAGCCGAAGCAAATAGAACACGCGAAGACAAACTCAAATAAGGTGATGAACCTGATCGGACAAGAATGGTAAGCGCTGATTTTGTCCATTGGGCTTAAAGGGCGCTTCTTAGGGCCTCCTGGGGATCTCTTCGAGCGCCTTGGGGGTCATCTGGGGAGTCTTTGTGGGGCTCTTTCGGGCCGTGTTGAAACCCTACGGGAACGAATCCAAGACGATGTTGGTTTGGAGACCCCTCCGGAGCCGATTTATGCGGCGTGCACCCCTTCGTTAGAGAAGAGTGCACCTGGCTCATTAAAAAAACGGTCCACGCCAGAGGCGCTTCCCGTAACACGCCACCGTGCCCCAGGGGTCTTGTAGATCTCCACGGGGGCACCCCCACCTCGCCACGAAGTGCTGCGTGTACCGCGCCGCCCCCCCCCCCCCCCCTCCGAGGCTCCATGGACAGCCCGACGCCTCCATGGGGCTCTCCACGGGGGCACCCGCCCCTTCTCGCAACGAAGTGCTGCGTGCACTGCGCCCCCGCGCTCCCCCGCTTCCGAGGCTCCATGGACCGCCCGACGCCTCCATGGGGCTCTCCAGGGTACCCGCAGGCTACCGGGACGGCGGCCAGGAGGGCCACCGCGGCCGCCAGGATGCTTCGACAGTGCCTCAAAAGCGGCACCCAGCAGAGCTTCAAGGGGGCGCCAGATGTGTTCCGAGAGGCCTCCGAGAGGCTCCAAGACGCCCCCAGGACGCTCTCCCAGGATGGCCCCAAGAGGCCCACGTCCCACGCTCTTCGATCGAAGGTCGGTCGACTTACGGTCTTCGAAGACCCAAAGGGTTCACTGAGCGCCCCAAGAGCGCCCCTAATCGGCTCATGACGGTCCCAAGAGAGCTCCAGGCTGGCCCAAGAAGGCCCCAAGACGGCCCCACGACAACCCCAGACGGCCAAGAGAGCCCCCAAGGTGACTCCATAGGGCCCAAAGACTGTCAAAGCGGGCCCAAGACGACATAAGAGTGCTCCAAGGCTGCCCCACAGGAGCCCAAGACAGCCCCAAAACAGCCCAAATGGTCACCCAGAGGGCTCCGCAAGAAGTGGAGACGAGAGGGCTCGCGTGTGACGGACTTCTGGGCGGCGCTCGATGGGACGCCACACAGAGCGCTTCGCCGGCACGGCGGGTGGATTTGCCGCCTGCACCTGGATTGACAAAAACTTTGGAATTCGACATTGGGAAAAACTGCAACATCGCGAAAAGAAACAACCAGAGCCCCCGAACCCATCCGGAACCCTGGACCCCGCCTTCCTGCTGCACTCTCCGAGCCGACATGTGCGATCGCTCCAGGGCCCGGAGCCGGGCGAAGACGCCGGGCTCCGCGGGCCACGCGACGTTGCTCGAAGCGAGCATCAGGTCGGGCGTGTGCGCCTACAGGTGGATTTCGGAGGACATGTGAACAATTGGCAGAGATCATGCAACAAAAAACACAGATGGTGAACCAATCGTCCCCGGACTATTTTTTAGACCAGTCTTGAATCCTCTTTTGGAGGGACATGCCCAACTTGAAGCGAGCAGCAACAGCCACACCCGCACAGGCGCGAGGAGCACTGTGGCGCCGCGAAAACCCGGAGCTCCGCTCTGCGAGCCAGCGGCCGCCCGCAGCGGCGCCTCGCCTCGATCGCGCCCACCAGCGAAGAAAGGCCCAGCGGCGGACGATACTCCTCGCCCCTCTCCCTGCATCCCCCCACCCCTGCGCGTGGTGAAGAATGGGACGCACAGGGACATACTCATACTATATGTCCTCCTTGGAGGCGCGCGTCCAAACCGAACATATTGTATACCCATCTTGTAGTATATCGTTTCCCGAGCGGTGTGGCCAGAAAGCGCCCGCCACGACGCATATACTATAAGATTTCTCGGTGCGCGCGTCGGCCTTGGGGGGGGCGACGCACATATAGTATATGTATGTTGGTGTGACGCCGACCCCACCACTGCGCGTGGTGAAGAATCACGGCGGGAGGTTCTTGGCAGCTTTGAGCCTCTGGGGGCCCTCGCCCAGCCCTGGGCCCAGGCACCTCCGGAGGTCCGCTTCGTGAGGGAAACCACGACGCCAGAGTTCTGGGCCCCATGAGCTCCGAACGGAGGACGGCATCGGCAGAGTCCGATGCGCGATCTGCCTGGCAGCCGAGAAGTAGGCCACTGTCGGTGTCCCCTCTGTGCCTGACTCACCCGCTCCTGCTGACCTGCTGCTCTGCTCGGCTCGGCTGGC